AAAGTAGCTGCTATTTCCACTCGACTGATTTCGTACAAACATTTCCATACGAAAGCCATCTTTTTTTAGCCTTCCCAGTAGGTGGTTCTGAAGGCTTTTTTAAGGATAAAGTCTCATAGCTGGAATTTTTGGATCTTCACCATCTTATTGTAGCTGGATAAGAGCTGCTGTTGATAGGCCGCAATGCAGGTGATAACCTTCTCGCACTTTTCATCTTCCAAGTCTAAGTTTGTGGCCATCTCATTCTCGTTCTGCTCGAAATTCAGTAGTACAGTGCTGATGCTTGGCACCATGATGTTGGGAAGGATGATCACCTCATAGCCATACACCAAAGAGAATGGAGTTTCGTCGGTTGCTCGTCTCTTGGTGGTGCGACACACCCACAGAACACCTGGGAGCTCGTCTGGCCACTTACCCTTCTTGTCTGAGAGGGACTTCTTGAGGCAGTCGAGAATGGTCTTGTTAGATGCCTCGGCCTACCCATTGCCTAGTGGATATCGAGGCGTGGACATGTGCTTCTTGATGCCATATTTTTCGAAGAACTTCTTGATGCCATATCGAGGCGTGGACATGTGCTTCTTGGTAGCTGTCATACCTTTGTACATACTCCTTGGCATCTTGATGCATGGTTGGCCAGTAGTAGCCAACGTTAAGAGCTTTTTGCGCTAGGGAACGACCTCTAGAGTGGTTTCCACAGACGCCTTCATGGATTGAGTTAAGAATTTTCAGGTCGTCGGGAGGTAATAGGTAATAGAGATGTGGTCTTGAGAAGGATCTTTCAACGAGTATGCTGTTCCACATGTAGTAGCGTGCTGCCTTCATTTAGAGCTTTATAGACTCCAGTTTGTCTGCATGGAGCGTTCCATTGACTATGTAGTCAATGATGAAATCTTGCTAACTCGGAGATGTGTTGATCTGCGCCACCTCGACTGCTAGTTCCTCGTATGCTTGGCTTATCCAAGTACTGGACTGTGATAGAGCGTTTGAGCTGATGGTCTAAGGTAGAGCCTAGGCCACCTAATGCGTCTGCATGGGCATTTTCTGCTCGTGGAACCTGAGTGAGTGTGTACGCTTGAAACATCGCTAGCTACTCTCGTACCTTCTCGAGGTATCGGGCCATCCATGGATGCTTTGCTGCATACTCCCTTGAGGTTTGGTTGGTGATCAACTGGGAATCGAAATAAATCGCGAGCTTTTTCACCGTTAGGTTTTTCGCCATTCAGAGACCTCCTAGTAAGGCTTCATACTATACTCCATTATTTGACGCCTTGAAGCATAGAGTGATCGTTTGCTCGAGCATCAAACAGTCCAAAGTAGTGCTTGGCTACCTCTAGGGGACTTTTGGGATAAGTTGCTACGTCTTTCAGGCTTGGGGTGAATTCTGCTACAAAGTCCGCCAATGCATGGGCCTTTATCGTCGTACTAGGTTGGTATGCTAAACCGTATTGGCTACGTTCCAATGCCCACTTCATCACTTGTTGAGAAATATCAAGACTCTGCAAAACTGATCGCAGTGGGTACTAGGTCATGACGATGATCTGATGTCCTTGAAAGTGGGTCTAAGCTTCTGAGCTGCAACAACTAGCACCAAAATTAGGTTTTCAATATTCGGGTATCTGGTTTCCACATCAATGAGAGCTTTGGATGTATAAAATACAAGCAATTGGGCTCCCAACTCTTCTCGTATGAAGGCAAAGCTCACTGCTACTTCTGATACCGCCAAATACATGTATATACAGGGTCTCCGCTGCTTCCAACTTAGATAGTAGTGAAGGTTATGTCAAGTACTACCTCAGGTCCTAAAATGTTTTGTCGCATTCGTCATCTCATTTGTCTTTATGTGCCCTCTTGGATGTCAAAAGTCTCTACCAAATTACCGATGTGGTTTGACCGCTGCTTGCCTTTCACCATGATGTCGTCAATATAGACCTTCATGGTTACTCCAATCTACTTCTTGAACATCGCGTTTACAAGCCGTTGGTAGATTGCTCTTGCGTTCTTGAGGCCAAAAGGTATGACCTTCTAGCAGTATGTACCTCGCTAGATCACAAATGTGGTTTTTTCCTTGTCAGGCTCGTGCATGGCAATTTGATTTTAGCCTAAGTATGTGTTCAAGAAGTTGAGCAGCTAGTTCCCGGATATTGAGTCAATGATAGGAGCATATTTATGTAACTTAGTTAGCTTGTTTCTTGGCATTTACTTAGTCTAATTCTAGTTATTTTAGTACTTTAAGATATTTTCGTGTGTTTGTAGGTTCAAATAACAAAGTTGGCAACCAAGTGCTATTTGGAGCATTTTCGAGCATTTTTTGTCCAAGATTGGATAGTGCGAGCATGGAGACATGAGGATGGACATTTTTGAAGATTAGAAGGCTAGAAATCAGCATGTGTGTTGACCTACAAGTACAAACATCCATCCATTACACCTATTACATCCACTCATTACCAAATATCCATCCACTACACCCATTACTTCCACTCATTAACAAACACTCACTTACTACACCCATTATATCCACTCATTAACAAATACTCACCCACTACACCCATTACATCCACTTATCACCTACCACTACATCCACTCATTTCACCTAACACATCCACTAATTTCAACCACCCAACACATTCACCTACCACTACATCCACTCATTACCACCACCCACTACATCCTCTTCCTAGCCTATAAATATATCCATCCAAAGACACACCAGGGGGACAGTTTAGGGAGAAGGGAGAAAGACACATTCTGCTGCAAGGCAGAGTCTTTTCTTCTTAACCAATCTACACAATTCTCCACTTTTTGCCGCATTCAATACAACTTTCATCCAAACACATCCATTCATCTTCACATCCATTCCTTCATACAAACAAACCTTCAAAGACTTACTAACACCTTGTGCCGTAGCAAAGGAAGGGAAGGAAAGTGCTTGGACGTGCTTGCTGTCCAACTTGGATCGTTGGAGCGTTTAGGTGTTTTCTTTCTTTTGTTTCCAATGTTTAAATTCAGTTTCTTTTGTTTTGTTGTGAATATGAGTGGCTAAACCCCTCTTGGCTAAGGGTGATTTCAAAGCCATGATAATGTGTGCAATATAATTTGATAAATTCCAGTTATGAACTCTTGAATCGTGAATGCAGTTGGCTTAACTATTTGATTGATAACTTATTTTTGTTTGTTAATTAAGGGTCGACACTTAATTGGCATGCATAAATCCGTTGCTAGAATATAAGGAAGTTTCACATAATCGTTACAAACTTATATTCACATGTAGTGAGCTTATAAACGATCGCGTTAAGTTCAATTCCTAGCATGAGTGACAAGATGTCATAGTTGCAAGTGGTATGTCAATGCTTATGATTTTCATTAAACGTAATGATCTTTTATTGTATCTCTATTATGATGTCATGTAGGGAACTTTAGAAGAATGTTTTGGGTTGTCGAATGATGTTATCCAATCCAATAAAACCAGGAAAATCTGAGAGTTAACTAGTGATGTCATGGTTAATTTGGAGCATTGTCGTTCATAATTCAATGAAGTAGTAACTGGAAATCGAGTTATTTGCATACATGTCATGTGTGGAGAAAAAACCTCTAGCTATCCCATCCATCATCTTATTTCTCAAATTTGTTTTACAATCTGTCTAGTTTTTCATACTTGTTTGTTTGTTTCAACTTCGTCCAAAACTCAATCCCCCTTTGCTTTAGTGTGTCTAATTAGTTAGAATCTGTTTTAATTTGTGTTTTTAAATGTTTTGATTCAAGTAAAAGTCAATTTTCGTCCAAAGTCATTCCTAGTGTCTAGTTTAAGTTTATCTAGTTGTTCTAAGCTGGTTTGAGTATTTTAAGTTTGCTTTGAGTCTTGTGAGTCTTGTTAAGTATTTTTAAGTTTAGTTTTATGTTTTTAAGTCAGTTTAGAGGTTATTAGCAAGCCCTTCTAATCCCCGGTCCAGAACGATCCCTACTTATACTTATACTACAATTGTCAAAAAAGGGTTAAATTTGTGTGTTAAGATAATTTTCGCATCAGTCAACGAGCAGGTCGATTCGAGGAATCGTGTAATTGTCTTTAGGGCATGCATACTCTCTATTTGCCCTTGTCTTTTTTCATCACCAGCACGATGTTGGCCAGCCATGTTGAGTGTGCCACTTCCTTAATAAATCCGGCCTCCAGTAACTTGTTGATCTTTGCCTCAATAATCACCACTCTCTCAAGTGCGAAGTGTCGCCTTTTCTAGATCACAGGTTTGGTAGTAGGAGCAACGTGCAACTTATGGCAAGCTATCATAAGATTAATACCAGGCATGTTAGAGGGTGACCATGCGAAAATGTCACGATTTTCCCTAAGGAAAACCGTGAGTTCCTCATTCTCCATCGGGCTCAGACGTGAGTTGATCCTAGCCGTCTTCTACGCTAATGGGGGTCAAGAATAATGTTTTCGGCGTCGCCCTCAGGTTTCCATCCTGATTTATCTGTCAGGGCATTGTCGACCTTGATGCCATCTTCTTAACCTGCTTACTGTAATTGTTATTTGGCAGAGGTAGAATCGTCTTTCTGCACTTCAGCCGCTGCTACTGGAGCGGAAGACTTCTTATTCTACTCCTTGATAACTTATATAATATATCACCGAGACATGGCCTGGTCGCCTTTGATCTCTTCGACTACTTCTTCTAGGATGGAAAATCGGATCTTCTGATACTCTATCAAGGTCACAACTCCAATCTTCACTAGCTAAGGTTAGCTTAATATCTTATTATGGGGAGATGGGTCGCTGACGACTATGAAGGTCTGCGATGAGCAATTGGAGGGCTGGTTACGTTAAGCGTGATCGTGCCAATGGCAGTTAAGGTAAGTTGATTGAACCCGGTCAAAACCTCTGCTTTGCATTTGATCATGTTTTCCAAGCCCATTTTCTAGACGACTGATAGTTGTAGGATGTTGACCGAGTTGCTGTTGTCCACCATAATTCTCTCAACGATGGCGTGGGCCAGTTAAGCAGAAATCACCTAAGCGTCTTCGTGGGGAAAGTCTACTCCCTCATCGTCCTGCTCGGTAAAGCCAACAATTGGTCTGGGTACAACATCTATGGCTTGAACCTGAAAGACCGACCTTGCCTGTCGGATTTTTCTTTTATTGGAACTGTTGGTGGCCCCCAGATGCTCGAATTTGGCAAAGATGTCATTGATTCGAATCATCTTGGTTAGAGGTTCGATATAGGCGTCTACTTCTCGTCTTGGTCGGGCAGCTGGCCTATCAACATATTGGTCGCACTTGTCTTCCTTCACGAGCTTCTCAAGGTACTTCATCCATGTGGTGTTGTCGTTGGTTATGTGCATGGGACCTCTGTACAATGCACAGTACTTTGTCTGTTCTATCTTGGAGGTGTCCCCCATTTTGGGCAGCGACACTTTGAACCACAACTTGTCTTTAAGGTCGCGAAGGATCTAGTTAATTGGGATCGAGAACTTAGTGTACATCTTGGGCGCTGAGCCTCCTTTTGTTAAGGATCGATCCCTGCATCTGCTTCCTAGCTTGTCTTTGTTATTAAGCAGTTTATCGCCCGCCTTTTTTTTAGTTGGCTATGCATCTTTGCACGGCTGCTCAGACGGCTTTTGAGAGCTCTTAGTCTCATCCTAAAGGAAGTGTTTTTCTACCAAAGCATAACAATCTATCAGGGTCAAGTTCTCGCCCATGATCAGTTCTTCGAAAAATGGGTGATCTGCTGGGAGCCCTTTCCAGAAGGTTGAGCATGCAATGCTGTCATCGCATCTGAAAGTCTTTGCCTTCTCCGCCTTGAACCTCTTGACGTATGTTCGAAATGACTCATTCGGGTCTTTCTTCATGTTGAAGAGGTGGTCAGACTTCTTCTTGATCGAGCGGTCGGATAAATATTCCTTAGTAAAAACCAAGGAAAATTTGTTGAAGTTCCAAATTGAACATGGTGGCAGGGTGTGAAACCAGTCTTGTGCCTCTTCTTGGGGCATCATGATAAAAAATTTACACATGAGAGCGTCACTGTTGCAGTAGAGGCTCATGGCGCTTCAGTAGTGGATCAAGTGCCTGTTCGGATCTTCATCTTCTTTGAATAAGGTGAAATACGACGGGCTGAACTTCCGTGATGGCTCTATCTACTCGATCTCATCTATAAACGGTGACCTGCTCATGTTAGCCATGTCTCTACAAAGGGCATCGTCAATAGTACCAATACTCTGGAATTCGCGCAGCTGCTTGACTACGAGTCTTTGTACTTCTTTCTGGATTTGCACCTGGTGGGGGCAATGGACCAGCTACCCTCAGTGTTAACCTGTTGGTCTATGTTGCTCTTTGGCATGTCATACTCGTGTGTGCCGCGGTAGTGGTGCATGTGGTTTATTCTGTGCTGCTCGCCGTCGCGCTTGGCGTGGCTGCCACTGGAACTTAATCTAGACTGCTCTCGTGCTCTCCTCAATCCACCATGTGGCTGCCTACTCCGGTGCCTCGCATGAGGATCTCCTTATAGGCTTAGCCTCGTTTGAACGCTTCGTCTAGAATGTCTTGAATGCTCATCGGAGTGTGGACTCAACCTCAAATGCACACTGACTCGTGAGTCGAGTTAGGAATGAACGCTTATCTGCGCATCTAGGTGAGAGAAGATGTTTTTTCGAGGGCCCAAACGAGAGTGCACACTACCTGAAAGCACAATTCGTGGCGAGCTAAACGGCTATTTGTCAGGACATTGCTCGAATGAGTCACGTTTTTCCTCCCTTGTCCTACTTCGGGACACCTCATCTAGGGCACGCTATTTTTCGATGTGCTCAAGAAGTTGGTTCACCAAAGTGGTCTGGTGCACGAAAGCGCTTGTCAAATTGGCGACATGCTAGGGTTGATGGTGCTCTCCATTTAGATTGGAAAAGTCTGGATAATGGGCGTCTCCATGTGTGATGAAAGTGTAGTGGATTGCAGGTACAAAGCTTAAGCCCAGAACGGGCATTCTTGCAGAAAAGTGAGGTGAAAATAATCTAGAGTCGATTGTGGGACTGATGGTCAGAATCTGGATTGCCGGAGGTGGCCTCGGATTGGATTAGGTCGCAGGTTAGGTTCCCGGAGTAGGTTGCAAGGCGGGCCAACCCGGCTGGGTGGTTAGGCCATACTTGTGGGTGCGCTGGGCTCAAGCGTGTGGAGGCTGGACTTGGGCATGCATTACGTGCTAGGCTGGGACTAGTTCTTCGCAGGCCTAGGTTCGTTTGGCATTATGCTGGGCTTGGCTGGTAGGGAATTGGGCTTGGGCCGCCTACCTGTGGGCCGCTCCTGCTAGCTAGGCCAGCTCTTCTAGGTTCCTATGGGCATAGGCCTAGGCTTGGAGCACTTGGGCTCACTGGATGGCAGTTAGGGCTGCTGCAGTGTGCTAGGCCTTCTGCCCTGGGCCTGTTGTGGCAACTGCCACATTGTCAGCCTCCTACCCTTGGGCCATGAACTCCTCTGCTGTGCCTTGGGCCGCTGCAACATGCGTTTGGGCTACTGCTACTGCGATGGTCCTTGCCGTGGGTTGTAAGATGGTGGCTATGGTGGAGGTGGGGCTCCTCCTGCCGTCGCGTTAAGCCTCAAGGTTCGCCATCATAAGGCTAAGTCCTCGTCTCCACTCTCTGGTCCAAATCCTTGTACGTACGAGATTCTGTTCGTCATGGTTTCTGAATTTCCTACCATTGTATCTTTTCTCTAGGGATTGACCAAGTAACTTTTCTAGGAAAAATTAATTGATACGACGTGTGAGAAATTCAACAAAATAGAAAATTCAAGAAACAAATGCAAGAGGCTTCTTCGAGTATTTGAATCAGCTCTCAATGAAAAAGCACTAATTTGTCAATGCAAATTTCCGCCGTCTCTAGCTTTGATTAAAATGCACCTACAAAACAATCAACACATTTGATCAATGACTTAAGCCTCACGCACCCACAAGGTGGGGGGTTAAGCCAATGGATCTCCGATGCCTAAGTTAGTTTCTCTCAAAAGAGTAAAGTGTTTAGTGCTTTTTAGGATAGCAAAAGCTTTTGAAATTTGGTAGAATATGGGATATATATATATAGAGGAGAGGGTCAACATAGTGTTAAGGTTTTACCCTACACATGATAGCATCCTATTGGCCAATGTTTATGGAGAAATATTCTCAAGATATTAAATAGGAAATAATATATTGAGATAATTGAGTAATTATCCCTAATTGATTTAAATTGGGATTTCTTACTTGATTGGAGTCAATCTTCAATTGTGAATGTATTAAAGATAGAATTTGGATAATTAATCTTTATCTTTAATACTTTGACTTTTCTTTGCCAAGGGTCTGTGAGCCATGGGCAGTCGTATTCAGCTGCTGGGACATTCAGGGCTGTGAGCTTCACAAGTATTATCACTATTTCTTAAACTTAACACTAATATTATTACTATTTTTTAAACTGAATATTGTCTATTTCTTAAATTGAACACCGACTATTTTTAGAATTGAATACATATACTGTCACTATTTCTTAAACTAAACACTGACTATTTCTAGAACTGAAAAATAACTATTTATTAAATTGAAAACTTGTACTATCATTATTTCTTAAACTAAATACCAACTTTTTTTTCAAATTGAACAAGGGTATTATTACTATTTCTACTGACTATTTCTTAAACTGAAAACGGGTATTATCATTATTTTTGAAACTTAATACTAATACTATCACTATTTCTGAAACTGAATGCTAGTACTATTATTATTTCTTAAACTAAATACTACCTATTTCTAGAACTCAACACTGATACTACACTATTTCTGTAACTCAACATTGACATTACCACTTTTTTTAGAACTGAACACTACCACTATTTCTAAAACTAAGTACTAACACCATTTGTAGAACCAAATTTGAAAGTATCAATTTTGAAGAAGCACTTACATGGAAAGGAAGCGCATGAGGAGAGGATTAATCTTTTCTTTCGGTTAGAGAACTAAAATTTCGTAAATAGTGTAAGAAAAAAAAAAAAAAACTTAAGACATCTATATTTGTATGCAACAAAATAACTTCTACAATCATCTTTCCTTTCATGTAGCATGATTGCATTATGGTCAACAATGGCCTGCAGGCTGTTAGTCATGCAATTACTAAACTCCGTTGGTGAGAATAGCAAGTACAAACAAAAGTTAAATATTCAAATCTAATTGTAGATTTTTCAGGTTGACGGGCCGAGGGCCTACTCCAACAACACCGATACTGTCATCACTTAATTACCTGTACAATCCTCAGTTTGGGGTTTTATCACAAAAGGTCTCAATGTTAGTTAGAATTGAGTAATTCTATTTAAAGTGCTTACTTTCTTCCCTCCTGGCCAATGTGGGACACTAGGGTTCCAACACTCCCCCGCACGTGAGAGTTCATTTATGGGTCACACGTGAAATTCAACACATCGGCAATCATGTGGAGCCATGTCGGGACTCACCCAATCGCACGGGGCCAATGGGAACCCACCTAAACACGTGGCATCTTTGGCCTATGTGGAGCCAGGTATTTTTGGCCTACAGGACTCACCAATCACACGGGGCCAATGGGGACCCCACCCAATCACGTGGCAGTATAGGCCCATCTCCTGGCTTTGATATCATGTAAAAAATTTCAGGTCGATGGGCCGAGGGCCCACTCCAACAACACCGATATTGTCCCCACTTAACCACCTGCACAATCCTCAATTGTGGGGTTTTATCACAAAAGGCATCGATGTTAGTTAGAGTGGGGTAATTCTATTTAAAATGATTTCTTTCTTCCCTCCTGGCCGATGTGGGACACTGGGATTCCAACACCAATTAATTCATAATTCAATTATAAGTTACAAAAAAAGTGACGTTTGATAAAAGAAGGGCATGATCCTGCAAATATATATTCTGTTTTGTGCAACCAAATATAAAGGGTTGTGCGATTGTTAACTACACACCAAATTTTACTTCAGAAAAGAAAAATGCAATATATACAGTTCTAAATCTCATCTTATGCAATATAGTTCTACATAGTGCAAAGCTACTTGATGAAAAAGAAAATGATTGTATTTTATTGGAGTGTCAGTTCTTACCCAAGATTAGTCATTTGGTAATATTCTTGAATCTTTGTGTTGATACTTCTGCTACAGTAACCTATACACAAGGCCCATATACAAATTAGATTTTCTATTATCTGCGGTTAATTTCTAGCTAGATCCATTTATCTTTCCCCACTGTATTGTTAGTTTGTACTGTTTACCATTTATCAGTTTTTTTTCGCTTGGAATTAGAGTTAAAGTACCGTGTGACAACTTCTGGGGCCTTGGCCACCCAACAAAGAGAAAAGACTTTGTCACAGCTGCCAAGTTACAAAACCAGGTATCAATAATAAAGGAAAACTAATGAAAAGAACTTGAAAGCTTTGAATTTTAATCAAAATGACAAAAATGTTTTGTAAGTTAATAGTGTTAAGCAATATGCAGAAAGAGAACAAAGAGGTCGCAGAGGAAGATGAAGGAAACGGAGAAGGTTTAGAGAGAGAGAGAGAGAGAGGGAGAGAGAGAGAGAGGGAGAGAGAGAGAGAGAGAGAGAGAGAGAGAGAGAGAGAGAGAGAGAGAGAGAGAGAGAGAGAGTGAGTGAGTGAGTGAGTGAGTGAGTGAGTGAGCTAACTGCCTTAACATACTCAATCCTTTACCAACAATCCTAACTAATTATTCTAACAGTCACACTACTAACTGCCTTTATCTATTTGGCTAATAACATGTGTCATGATCCACACCCTCCATATCCTATATACTCTAACATCCCCCCGCAAGCTCATGATGGTCCAAGCATGAGATTGTTGCAGTTGGAGAGTATTTGGCAATCTAAACTCTTTTTGGATAGTATTCCTTGCAATTGGAGAGTGGAGTATCTGATCACTACTGCACACATACTATGCAATAAGAAAACCTCCTAGCATCTGGAGCTTGAATTTTATCATTATATCGTGTATAC